TTCAGTCAGGTACTATTCTTTGTTATGTAAAATGCACGCATGAGACATGGTTTTTTCCCTTCTATTATACTAGAGTTCCCGCGTGTATAAACCGCTATAGAAATTCTAGAAAAAGACAGACGGACACCCGTAAACACATATACACGGGAGCATTCAGTGACTGGCCGACGGCACATACAAGGTCTTGCTAGATTACGTCATTAAAATATATAATTTATGAATCTTGTTAAAGTGAAATGTCGTGTGGTGACAGATTGAACTGCAGCGATTACTGCGACTGTCAGGTAACTTGTTTATGTAAAGACACGGTGGTGATCTGGCAAGTTCCACTACCACAGAAAAGCAAGTTCATTTTTTCACATCTTAGGGGCATCAGGAATATGGGGCTAGGTAAAATACTGTACAGATCAATTGTCATCTTCGTGTCGGCTGTCTTTACTTTCGATGACATTTCCAAGTAATAGTTTTCCACTGGATCGACCTGAGAGCCCAAGTCAACTGGTAAAATGATAAAGGAAACGACAACATAGCTACAGAGACTGTTGTGTCTCAGGACCGTTGATGGTCCTGGTTTGTCAGCTAACCTCATATCAATAATGTGAATATACTGCGTCTGTGCAGATCTTTCCCTTCCTGGAACCAAACTGTCTCGTACTTAATTTGAGTTCTAGTACTGGTCGAGCTCCTAATTCCAGTATTTTTGCAAACATGTTTCCAATATGACTCAAGGTAGAGATGCCTGTGTATGTTTGTTTCTAAATCTCGTTTGCCCCCCCCCCCCTTTTGTCCCACAGATGGGGACAATAATAACCACTCTCTGCCTGTCAAATGGGACCTTCTCTGCCTCCCAAGCTGTGTTAAAGTCTTTGGTCAGCTGTTGCTGATATCTTACATGCCTGGTGAATTTCTGTTACAATACCATCTATTGCTGCTACCTTGTTCTTTTCACTTTGTTCAAGGGACTTTCAACGTCTGATTTCAGTATCTTTGGCTCGTGGTCTCTTGCAAATAGTATTTAGTGAGGTATTGCTTCAGTTGGTCTACAGTTTAACGCTGGCCGCGTTAGCGCAGTCGATAAGCAGCTCGCTTTCAAATCTAGCTGCGACTCGCTGCAGCCCGCGGTCGTTGTTCAAAACCGGGCAGTTCCCGGGGTTCACCCAGCCTCTAGGAAATGGGTACCAGAGTTGACACTCTGGGTTAAATGGAGGAACGTCGCTGTAGCTACAGAGTTACGTGCGAATGGCGACACAGGCGGACAATTCTTATCAACCGTCCGTACTGGTGGCAGAGCTCTTATGGGCTATCCTCCGAATAACGGGCACAAAAGATGGCCAAAAACAGGACGTCAGTCACGTGTTAAATGCGTACTTCCGGCGACCTAATTTGCGGTTTTCCGGCGACTATCGCCACCGCCGAGAGTATCCCTGCGCCGCTCACGGGGCGTGGTTTGGGGCTAAACTAGATGGCTAGGATTCACTAGCAAAGCTGCAGGAGATGCGGAAGCTCCTGCTCGTGAGTCCCAGCCATCTAGTTTAGCCCCAATCCACGCTGTGTGAGCAGCGTGGGGGATACTCTCGGCAGTGAATGTAGTCGCCAGGAAACTGCAAATTGAGTAGCCGGAAGTGCGCAATTGACACGCGACTGGAGCTCTGTTAGGGTGTTTTGGCGGTCGCCATCTTTTGTGCCCGTTATTAAGAGGATAGCCCACATCTCCCGACTTTACCTTTACAGTTTAACGATTCATTTACATATTCTTTCAATCGATTTCCATGTGAGTAGTTTCTTATTTTATTGTTAATAACGGTGGACAGATTGAATCTTTTTTCTCGCAGTTGTTTCAATGTCTTGATACTTTCATTAAAACTTTTCTGGTGACTTGAGGGAATAGCACTTGTATGACTCATTCTTTCTTGTGTAGTACTGTAGTAGTGGTTGATTTCACCACTGCCTGCTTGCTAGGCCCCGTCGGTGGGACAAGAAACAACTGACCTGCTTGGTGCCCATCTGCTCCCTTCACCACTCATTATAATACCCAGATTTTAAAAGAACAATAAGAAATCCACAGAAACTGTTTGTTAAACTGGCATCTGTGCCTGCTTGCAGAACATGCCAACAAACAACTGCTTAAGAAGCATGGGGGAGAAGCAAGCAGTGAACTGGACAGATTATTTAAAGATCCATAATCTGAGACATAAATAAATTTTTGTTGAACTGCAAGTGGCCATGACAACAGAGGTCAGCATTATCTGTCATTGTAGGTCAACCAGACATCACTGTGCCCAGTCATTCACTATATCAGACATTCATTTGTCCACTTATTCATTATGTCAGACACTGGTGTGTCCAGTCATTCACTGTATCAAACACTTGTATGTCATTTGTTATGTCAAGGGGACAGACTGGTCGCAAGACATTGTGTCCGCCCCGAGTGACCGAGGTCCCAGCCTGAACCTGGGATTTTTTCATGTGGACGTCTAGTAACTTTCCCTGGTCTCTGGGTAGTAAGATCAGACGCCAGTGTGTATTGCTGCACATGTTTAAAAAAATCCGTTGGCAGTTGGCTATCGTAAAGAGTAGCCTAATAGCACTGCCTGAGCAAAATTTGGAGTTAAAAATCTACCCAAAGCATTACAGGATCCTCTCCTGTGCTACGGAGTGCTTGCACTGCGCTGAGATTTTCTGACTCAGGTTTGAGTTAGAAGTATAAGGGAGCACTTATGGGTTACTACATTTGTGCCATGATGTTTATCCACTGTTTAAAATTTAAACCTAAACATTTGTTATGTCAGACACTGGTGTGTCCGGTCAATTGTATGTCAGACATTGATGTGTCCTAGTCATTTGTTATGTCAGACACTGGTGTGTCCGGTCATTTGTATGTCAAATACTGGTGTGTCTGTCAAGCATGTTGTAAAAGTTGACAAGTCAGGATTGCTTTCTTTGAAGTCAAGTTTACCTGCAATGTGAGGAGCCAACGTCTCCATACAAATAAGCTAGGTCTTTAAAACAGATATGGATGAAAAAGTCCAGTTCTGGAAGAAGACTTAAGTCCGAAAGTGGACAGATAGAAATTCCAACCAGAGGTAACAGCTGGTGAACATGAAGAAGACTTAAGTCCGAAAGTGGACAGATAGAAATTCCAACCAGAGGTAACAGCTGGTGAACATGAAGAAGACTTAAGTCTGAAAGTGGACAGATAGAAACTCCAACCAGAGGTAACAGCTGGTGAACATGAAGAAGACTTAAGTCCGAAAGTGGACAGATAGAAATTCCAACCAGAGGTAACAGCTGGTGAACATGAAGAAGATATTGCTGTGCGCTCAGTATTGAAGCTAAAAAAAAACATTACTAAATTCACTGCTGAAGTGATCATGAACATAGTGCTCTTTAGCTCATTAATAATTTACAATATAAAGTGATATGACAATGTTAACAATGATCTAATGACTCCAATGCATTTTATAACATTGCATAAATCAATTAGATCATCATTAACTCTTTCAGTCCAAAAACCTTCCACAGCATTTGCTTAAGGATAGAAATAATCACTATTAAAAATCAGAAATAAAAGTAAAAAAAGTAAAGGATCCTCTTCCATACCTTTAGGCATATAAGGCTAGACCTATATTTTTATAGACCAATCGGCACAAGATGGGGTGATGTGGTCAGCATCATGCCGGCCGCCTTTACTTCCCGGGACTGCACCCTGTACCCACTCAAGGCTGGGTCGACCTGGAGCCAAGGTCATTTTTGAAAAAAGTCCGGCTCCACCAGGGAGCGAAAAAATCAGAAATAACCACTATTAAAAATCAGACATAACCAGTGTTAAAAATCAGAAATAACCATTAAAAATCAGGGCTATCCTCCGAATAACGGTCCTAAATTATCGAGTCCGAAAATATACCCTAACAGGGCCTAGGTCACATGTAAATTGCAGAATTCTGCCACCGCCGAGAGTATCTCTCACGCTGCAGCGCACGGCGTGGAGTGGGGCTAAACTAGATGGCTGGGACTCACGAGCAAATAAAATGAAGGAAGCCGCAGGAGATGAGGTAGCTGCTGCTCGTGAGTCCCAGCCATCTACTTTAGCCCCAGATTCTCTTGGCGGTGGCGGTAGTTGCCGGAAGTGTGCGATTCAAGTTGCCGGAAGTCTGCAATTTACATGTGACTGCGGCCCTATTAGGGTATATTTTCGGCCTCCATAATTTGAGACCGTTATTAGGAAGATAGCCAAAATCAGAAATAACCACTTTAAAAAAATCACCAGTATATAGCTGTCAAGGAAGAGGTAGCTGAGAATGCCAGTTTTCTTTAGTATTTTGTAGCCAAATGCAACGCACACATACACAAAACCAGAACATACCGCTGCTATTTGGGAGCCTAAAGAACCAGTTTATCATACATGATGCTGCTGTCTGAGGCCAAACAAGTTAATGTAATTTATGGAATGTGCTAAGAGCATTAGGTAATAGTATTAGGCTCTCCTATCAACTACGGGCCGGTAGACAACAGTTGACGGCTGGTTAGTCAGAGTTCTGTCCCTTGGCTGCAATGCAATTACGGACTGAAGAAGGCACGAATCAAATGTGTGTTGGCGATAGACAGCGTGCAGTGACCTGCTGTCATCATACGGTTAGGGTTAGGTTTAGAGGTAGGGTTTAGGTTGCGCAGCGCGGGTTCTGCCAGGCACGTCGACCTCACTTTGTTTTTTAATTCGTGCCTTCTCCAGTCCGTAATTGCACTGCAGCCAAGGGACAGAACTCCGACTAACCGGCCGTCAACTGTTGTCTACCGGCCGTAGTTGAAAGGAGAGCCTAGTATTATTTTTTACTTAAAATAACGATTTTATTGTTAAATTATTATGATCATAGTTATAGTATTTATTTTTAATGAATATAACAGTATATTTGACGAGACAGTATAAGGGGCTATGGTCCAAGTCTTCTCCTTTCCTCATCTTGCTCGTCAACAAACACAGTGACATATGTTTAGAACTGTACCTTGCTCTAGCGATTCCAGCACTAGCGTCGTCAGGAGATGCGGGGCCAGTTCCTCTAAACTTCTGCAGAATTCGATGAAAACCGGACGGTCCTTGGTCGATAAAATATCCAACAGTATCTCTGCCCTCTTCTGTGGCAGTGCCGGGCTCAGTATCTCCTTTCTTCTGACAAAGTGAACAATCGTTTGACCAACAGCCGAGGTAGCAGCGTGTTGATATCCAGTTCTTCTACAAATTTCGATCGCACCCGTGTCAGCTGCCGGAATAGGCCATTGCGGCTCGCCATCTTCCATGTTTTGGCCCTAAAGTGCCTTTTTGTGAGGTCAAAGGTTAACACGGCCAGGCCCCGAGGGATGCTAGCTTGGCCAAACATGTATGGCTAAATTTAGCAACTTTTTAGGCTATAGAGTTTAGAGGCAGTGGCCTGCAGTGTTGCCACTTTGGATCTTTTATATCCAAATTTAGATCTTTTTCATTGCATTTAGATACTGTTTTTTGACGTTTAGATCGTAAATATTTTTCTAGAATCTTTTCATATGAGTTAGATATTTTAAAGATTTTTTTTCTTTCATTGTCAATTTAATAATTACTGTGTAAAATATTTACTACAATATTTTTGTTTTAGTCTAGCATGTACATTGTGACAACTGCCATTACTTGAACTTTGAACTCTCACTGGGGTCAACGCACAAATATCAGTCAGCCCCGGTACTGATTAATAAAAACGCGCGTAAATCATACTAACTTTGTTTCAACCGTATCCTCACTGTGCTGACTTTGCGTTTCTTTTTCATGTGATTTAAAAAAAAATAATTGCTCACCTTCTTATGTAGCTTTCACTTTGGAAAAAACCTTTCAACATGCCAAAAGTAAAGTATGAGCAAAAAATTTGGAAAGAGTGGTTGCATGATGACAAAATTAAAAACTGGGTGATGGCAGTTCCTGAGGTTATGACCAAAGCTTGTTGTAAGTACTGCAAGTGTGAAATTAAAGCGAAAATACAAAACTCAAGAGTCATGCAGAGACTAAAGAAAAAGCATAAAACTGCAGTTTCATTTAAAGATATTACACTGCTGACATCTGTTTTCAGAACTATACTGATAAATGAATCATCAAAAATTGAAGTATCAGTCGCAATGTTTTTAATTTGTCACTGCGCAATTTCAAACTGTGACCATTTGATCGATTTGTAAAAAATCTTGGACTAGTTCAGTTTGAAAAGTGTGATGTAGAAAGTATAGTTTAGGAACTGAAGGACCTTTTAATCAGCAATCAGTTAGGCTTGAAGAATTTGGCTGTAATTGGTACTGATAATGCCTCAGTGATTGTTGGTATAAACAATGGCGTTTATGCCAAGTTAAAGAAAGCTATTCCATCTTTAATACTTATAAAATGTATGCGTCATTCATTGCAGCTAGCATTATCACATGCTGCATCTAAATATTTACCAAGGAATTTGGAATACCTTATTGCTGAAACACTTTACTGGTTTTCCAAATCATTTGTCAGACAACAGCAATGAAGCTGAAACTAAGACTACCAGACTACCAGACAGCAATACAATACATTATATACAGCCTTGAATGATGGTTCCACGCCACTGAAAATTCTGTCAGATTGCAAAACTAGATGGTTATCAATTTAACCAGCTGTTGAAAGAATTATGAAGCAATGGCTGAAGTTGAAGACACACTTTGAAATAACAAGACAAAGTGAAAAGTGCTACATAGCTGAAATACTATATGGAATGTACAGTGATGAAAAAAAATTGTCATTCATTCTCTTTTTATTACCTTTTCTATTGGAAGTGCAAAAAGTTAATAAACTGTTCGAATCTAAACTTGTTGATAAAGTTAAATTACTTGATGATCTCACCTTGCTATTTTACTCGGTAAAAGACTGGTGTTGCCAACTTCTAAAGCTGATTTGCTCACTTGCACAATAGAGAGCTTTTTGGCTCCTAAGTAACACATTGGATATTAAATCGAATCAAAAATTGATGATTTAAAAACAAAAGGACTGTTAACAGAGAATGAAGAAAACAACTTAAGAAAACGCTGTCAAGATTTTTTTATCTCATTATTGAAACAATTGAAGCAGAGACTTCCTGAAAATCTAGATGTTTTGAAAAATATTTCACTTTTTTCTGTGAGCAACATACTTCAGCCAATAAAGGACATACCTAAATATTGTAAAGTTATGAAATTTTTAGGGGCTACTGATAATAGTGTCGCGGAAGCAGAATATCAGTTAACCAAAATAAAGTTAGCTGAATGGAGAAACAAAACAGAAACTAAAGCGTTTTGGAGTGAAGTGAGACAATTTAAAGATGCCTCATCAAACAGTCAATTGTGTAAGCTCTTTTAAAGTGCCATGTCTGCCATGATACTACCCCACTCAAATGCTGACATAGAAAGAGTTTTAAGTGCTAGGAATTATATCAAATGTAACCTAAAAAACAGGATGAAATTTGACCTCTTAAATGCTATAGTGCCATTAAAATTCGGCCTGATGAGACTAGAGAAATAAGCCTACTGTTCCACTTATAAAGAAATTTGAACAGCTAAAGCATACCAGGGTCATTTTGGATCTGAAGCTTCAACTTCATTATCCAAGCTAAGTTTATCCTGTGGATCTTGTGAGGCAGACATCAGTGAAGGTGAGGGCATGATTATGTAGGGTAAGCTATGTAATTTTTGACTTTTTCAATTTGGATGTTTTTCTCTAGATCTTTTCCACGCAGATTTAGATCTTTTTAAATTTTTTGGGACACCGTTTTGGATATTTTTTGTCAAATAAAAGTGGCAACACTGGTGGCCTGTGTTGATCTGTGGCTATCAATGCCAAACGTGGACACTTACATCCTCCAATGAACATAAAATTGTGACAACAGAGATTAAATGCCTTAGAAGAGCTGCAGGAGTTTCAAGGAAAGACAGAATACGAAATCATGAAATCAGACGAATGCTAGTAATAAAGCCAGTCTTACAGGTCATCAAAGAACAACAAATGAAGTGGTTTGGACACCTAACAAGAATGCCCTGGTACTACCCGCCACAGCGAGCCACACTAAAACGGTACAACGGATATAGAGCGAGTGGAAGACCTCGGAAAATATGGAGTGATGGCATTGAGAACAGTCTTACAGAAATGAACATCAGTCTTAATAATGCTCTTGACAGCCCATCAACGAACATTAAATCTACCCACGACACTTCGATGAGGTACAAGGTGGAAGAGAAGAAGAAGAAGAAGGCCTGTGTTGATTCCTTAAACGTGGCTGGAACTGTCTGACCGCTTCAGGAGTCGACCCAGCCCAGTCCCAGCCTCATTGAAATAATATTGAGAATATAGGATATATTGGAGTCTGTGGCCTAAGCTTGCGAATACGCTTCCTAAATCCGAGATACCCTGTTTGATTCCAGCTGCGGACTTTTGGCAGCAGATCACTTTGCGTTGATTTCGACAACGACAAATTGCTTAACATAACATTGCATAGTAAAGCCAAAACAAAACGGTCTTGGCCAGTTTTAAAAAAAACATACTACACCTTGTCCTGAATACGCCATATTGAGAAGGCATCCAGACAGAGGCACTAACACATTGATGGCGTATGTCTGGTGTGTGTGTCGGGTGGGGCAGGTGTGTTTGATGGAAAATAAAAATATTTGTGTAATGAAATATGTATTTAAAAAAAAAAGTGAATAGAAAGTTTCTATACATCGTGGGGTGAGGGGTAAGTAACCTAGCCCTCTTATAAATGTATTTTAAAAGGGGGACTGTAAGGCATGTATTTGTTTCTTGAAGGGCGGTCTAATTGCATCGTCATCAGTCGGCGGGTCCTCTACAGAACGTCGCTCTCCTCACAGTTCTACTGAAAGTGTTTACTTCTTCAGTCAGTTCTTAGGCGCTATGTGCTTTCATAACCAGATTTAGGTTTAGGTTTAAACAACGAATCAACATCATGGCACAAGGGAAGTAACCTATAAGCGCTCCCTTCTACTTCTAACTCAAGTCTGAATCCGAACAATCTCAGCGCAATGCACCAACTTAGGAACACCGGCGAGAGAGAATCCTTAGAATACTTTGGATAGATTTTTAACTTCAAATTTTTCCCGGGTAGCGCAGTTAGGCTACTACTGTTTTCGATTTCCAACTGCCAAGGTATTTTTTACATGCGCAGCAATACACACGGGCGTCCGATCTTACGACCCAGCGACCAGGGTAAAATAGCTAGAAGTCCCGTTATTCCAGGAACTGCGTCGTTCTCTCCAGACCACCGTGACGTTTAACTTGGCCTAAATACCCAAGCTTTCGGGAAAGGATGCTGTTGATGAGCCATTCTCCTCGATCTTCAGGTCATGCAGGATGTTGACATTTTCTTCTTCTTGGTCCAAGATATTCTAAAAAAGGGTTCCCCTCTTTTTCTTCAACTTCATTCGGACTGTTTGACGTATTTGTTGTATCTGTGTACATTTTTTTTTTTTAAATAATCCTTCCATCTCTAGTTTTTCTGTACTTTCCGTCAACAAATTACTGTTTTTCCCATGTGGGTTCCGGGGTCCAAATTTGGGGTGGGGCTTAAAAAGCTTATCTTAAGAGCCGACTATTTAGGGATTTTCTTACAAGAGCATCTGCCTGAGAAGCAAGGAGCCCTTGTTCTGCAAAAGATAAGCCTGATCTGTAAAATGAATGTTAGCAAAAGTGAAGTTTTGGAACAGAACTCAGAAGTGGACGAACAACCAGAAACGGAAATTGCAGCTGGCGAATGCGAAGATTACATTTTTCATCATTTATTACATTTAATTATGATTTGAACTTCTTTGTTACCATTTTGATCTTTTTGAACATACAGTAAACCTCGCTTAACGAGCACCTCGCATAACGAGTAATTCGCATAACGAGCAAAACAAATTGTAAAAAAAATGATGAGCTTAACGAGTGGCGAGGAGAGGGGAAGTCCCCAAATGAGCACATGTTACATGAGTGTTTAGCACCTGTTCCAGTAGCATCGTAGTGTCGCTTGTGATCACACATTTTCTTAAACTTGTGTTACATTGTGATACATGTACATGAATCATCCAGGCCTACAAGATGATCTATCTGAAGAATTTAATTTCATCAAGATCCCGTTTCTGCCTCCCAACACCACAAAGTAACTCCAGCCCATGGACATGAAAGTTATTTCTAACTTTAAGAAGCTCTACACTAAAGCACTCTTTGAGCATTGTTTTCAGGTGACTGAAGGGACCAACCTCCCTCTGAAACAGTTTTAGAAAAATCATT